GCCTGCCCCTGAGGCGCACCCCAGAGACAGGTTCATCTCCCCTCTCACCCGCCTGTTAATTAGAAAGCTCCTGACATCCGCCTTTTCCATTAAGAATTTCCTGAGGATGAGGAACAAGTAGCAACCTCCCCTTCGCCCATTTCACCACCCCCAGCCTTCTGGAGGAATCACTTTGCATGTTAATTTACACCTACTCTTTTAGCAGCAAAATACCAACACATTTATGTGCAGCCTCAGGAATGGGATTTTTCTTCTGGGAGAAACCTCCCTGAAGGCTGGGGCTTAACCCTTTACACACCAGTCCTAATTACAACTCACATTTATTGCACTCTCATGCTAAGCCTGGCAAGGCGCTAAAAGCTTCAATCCTTAATATAACCTACAACAGGGGGACTGTAAGTTTCTCCATTTTTCAAATGAGGAAACTGAGGCACAGAGTTGCATGTGGGTGTACAACACAGACCTCCTGAAATGAGGAGGGCTGCTTGCCACTCAGCTAATTATCCCAGACGGTGGTGGTCACTGAGTTCTTGCCTCTCTTCCGTGGGTGTTCTGTCCTTGTCCTCACTGCCAAGCCCTCGGTTATCACTTCTTGCCAGTGCCAGGAGCCCCACTTCTGCTGCCAAATCCGCACAACCTATCTGCAGATGGCTGTAAAGCAATAACCAAGCTGGGCTGAAATGAGTGCACAGGCTATCACTGGATCACCACACCCCTGCCGTCCCAAGGCCACTAAAGCAAATGGACTCTGGGACAGCAGCCTCTTCAGTTCAGTTGAAGAGATCAGTTTGAGCATCTACTTCATACCTGGCACTGCCCTTGGTACAGGAGGCACAAAGACACATGCATCCCAGACCCTCAGGGTGATGTGGTCTAATGGGCAGCTCAGGTCTCCCTGCAGCTGTCCCAGGTTCCAGCAGTTTTGGAGGTGCTTGCTACTCCAAGTGACCCTGAGAGCTGGTTAGAAATGCAATCTCTCAGACCCACTCCCTAAGCTACCAAATCAGAGCTTGCATTTCAGGAGATCCCCGGGGGAGGATCTGTATGCATGTGTTGGTCTAGACAGTTCAAAGATACCCACAGTATGATCTTAGGATATGAAAGGCACCATTACATCATGCCAAGTACTTAACTTGCACACTTGCTGAGATGCGTTCCTTTTCCCCATCCTTACTGCCTGCCCCTACTGCCACCTCTGCCCAACCCATAAGATCTTATCCACCCACATGCTCTTTAGAGAGCAACGAAGGAGTAACAGTCATAATGAACAGGCACATTACAAAATGCACCCAACGTACACAACTACAATGGAAACGTGTCCTGCTGTGTGTGCTGCGTTTCCAGAAACAATACGCTCCAGTTACTCTTGCCCTCAGATTTGACTTTTTATTTTACACAGCTTGCATCTTCAGGTGCAGGCCCTTCGTTAGGTCTAGACCTGGCAGCGATGTGGCCTTCAGGCCCCACCCCACAACTGTAAGGAGCCCACACCCGTGCCTGCATGCACAGTAAAGTGTGCCCTACAGCTCCGTTCCTTCAAGGAAGTCTAGCGACAAGGGCAATTCCAGGAAGAGGTAAGAGAATTCAAATGTCTGAGGCACTGCTCGTTTGGATACAGGGAGTATTGCTTGCTCCCACAAAGCATCCGTGTGGAGAAGCCCATGCTTTCCCTCTGTCCCTGCTCCCAAGTGCCTCCCCAGGGCGGAATGGTGTTTTCTTCCCTCACACAGCAGGACCCTTTGCTGGAAGGAGACTCTTGCTGGGACCTCTGTGGGTCAAGGCCAGCAGCTCTTAGTAGACTGCAACTCTTCCAGAAACTCAAACGCTGTGCAAGCTGACTCAGCAAGACCTCCCTTGCAGATGCTCCACACCGGACCGCTCATGGGCAACCAGGAGCCACAGGAAAGTGATTTGGATTTGTGCAGAGAGCTTTCTCCTCCCCTGGGCACTGCCCTACACCAAATCACCCAAGAACCATGAGACAGCAATGCCCTCACCTTGACTCACCAGACCACAGAGTCTTTCGGTAATTAGGCCTGAATCCCAGCACAAATTAGATCTGATAATTTTCTAAAACTCTAATTGTATCCAACTCTGAGACCAGCAAGACAGACATTCTTCCCAGTTCAATAAAATTACTCAAAGAACTAATGAATGCTCTTGCTTAATTTCTCCCAAGATTGCCCTCTGGAAAGAAAGCAATCTGAAAAAGAAATGCCTAAAACAAACAAACAAACAAACCCAGCGGCTGAAACTGTGAGGTTATAGATTTGCAGGGGAAGTGTGGTACACTTGCAATAACAGAGTCATCACTTATTTCAAACATTAACATATATAACAGCATAAGATCAAGTTCATGAGGTTTCTTCTCAAACACCAACAATGGTGGTGGTAATATTTGTAACGTTTTTTTTTTTCTTTTTGAGACAGAGTCTCACTCTGTTGCCCAGGCTGGAGTGCAATGGCACAATCTCGTCTCACTGCAACCTCCACCTCCTGGGCTCAAGCGATTCTCCTGCCTCAGCCTCCTGAGTAGCTGGGACTACAGCTACTCGGGAGCTGTACTGCACCACCACACCCAGCTAATTTTTTGTATTTTTAGTTAAGATGGGGTTTCACCATGTTGGCCAGGCTGGTCTCTAACTCCTGACCTCAGGTGATCTGCCTGCCTTAGTCTCCCAAAGTGCTGGGATTACAGGCGTGAGCCACCGCACCCAGTCAATATTTGTAACTTCTATATGAACTTTTAAGAATACTGTAAAGTAAGTACTCTGAATTCTCACAACAAATTTATTTTTATTGAGAAGCATAGTAAATAAAAGAAACTTCCAAAGAACAAGGACAGACTTTTGCACATTGTTTCAATAAATGAGGCCATTTATCTTGTTCTAGTTCTGTTATGTCACTATATCCTTGTTAGGCAGAGTCAATTCCCTTGATTTACAATTGTTTTGTGAATTATACACACAGACTAAAAGACATTTAATTTCTAAGAAAAAACAGAAAAAAACATTCAAGCATTTCTTAAGCAAAAATCCATCCAACCTTTTCAAGAAGAACTATTTAATGGTACGGCTGCTATTGTTAATATAGTTTCAACACCATTCGATTTTAATCCATCAGATTTAGTCAAAAAATAACATTTCTACGAGTATGTTTTCTCACTCTTCTTCCCAAAAATCCTTAACTCTTTCAGATAGGTTCTTCGTCACATCACGCCGAATAAAATAAACTCAAAGAAAATCAGACCACCGAAATTAAAAAACGTATGGCCCATTTCTAAAGACTCACATACAGCCTGACCAGGCCACCTTTGGGACACCAGTGTGTCAGGTTAACTAAGGACAGATACCCCAGTTTGCATAAGCAAACCACACCGGGGAAATTAACACAGATCTGCCCTGAAAACCTACTCACCTTCTTGGGCATCACCACAGAGAATAATGTCTCCTTCAGTCAGAAACTCTCAAATCACCACAGAAAGAAACCTCGACTCCTCAACCTTCTTTGCCCTAACTGGTCTGGATGGAGAATTGACTCCCATTCCCTGGTGCTAGCAGTGAACATGAAATTCAGGACAATGCGGTGAAGTTGCAGGTGAGGTGTGGCTCATATGTCTAAACGTAGTGTGTTTTGCAAACTCCAAGTTGCCACCAGGAATTTTTCTTGTAATGAAATAGAAAAGAATAAAAATTATCTCAGTGTATCACAGATAGCAAAACTGAGTACTGTTTCATAAAAATTGTCATTGTAATCTATGTATCAATATGTGTGCCTCTGTGTGTGTACTTGATCACAATGTAAATTTAGGTCTTATTGTAGACTGCAGTCAAAGAAGTTTAAAAGCTGCCATCCTCAGGAACACCCAGTGAGTACCAGTGTGTGCGTGTAACCAGTAGCCCCATCCCAAACAGCCCAGAGAAAGGCTTTCCCAGCACCGGGCTTCCAGAATCCTGTGCTAAGCTGACAGTACAGAAGAGGCAGTCAACAGGGCTCTGAATCCCAAGTGCCTGAAGGAGGAATGAAACAATCTCACCAGAGAGGAAAGGACAGCTGTGACAGTCACCCTCCCTGAATAAGATCACTGAGACCATGGATGGACATCTTCCGAGCTAACCTACAGTACAGGTAAGAATGGGAAGCTGCATTTTTAGACAACTATCCATTAGAAACCATATCAACATATGAACAGTGCATGTTGGTAGCCTTGGATGCTCAAGGATGGGAAACCTTGGGCAAATCAGACAAAAATTCTCAACCACAGGACAGGACAAACTAGCCCAAAGGTTCCTTAACTACAGAGTAGGTAAGAAGAAGCTGTAATTTTACCCCATCTGGGAACATTAGGAAAAAGGCAACTTTCTGATACTCTGACTTCAGTAGAACCGGATTCTTCCAAAAATATAAATGTCAAAGTCACCCATTCACAGTATAATTTGCACCAAAGTGCAAAATGGGGTACATATGTGTACCAAAGAACAAAATCAACCGGAACTGAGCTGCCAGGGCAAAATTACAACAGAAACTTAAAATAATATATTGTCCCACCCACCTGCCAAAACATTAGCTCAAAGACATTCCTCCTTTAAATACAGTTTTACTAATTATAAAAATAATCATTCAATAAATATTTGTTGAGCACTATTTTAGGTGCCACAAACACTGAGTGAGAAAAACAAAGTCCAATTTTACCAATTTTTTCTTTCTGTGCAAATACAAATATCTCATTAAGATAACACTGAATATGGAACATTGCACCCAGATGGTTTCACTTTTAACATTAAAGTTTCTCCCATAAAATCAAATGTTCTTTGAAAACACCATTCTTACTGGCTACATAATATTCTAACATGGAAATGGTATCATGATTGACTGAAAGACACTCCCAAATGCTTACCACAAGATAAAAACACAAAGGAGAGACATCATGAAATAGAACGTTAGACCTAGATTCAGAGCCTTAAGGAAAAAGAAGAAAAAAAAGGAAAATACAGTCTTACGAATGTCAGAGACCCCACTATTTTCCTCCACAGGGATGAATATTCACGTCCACACCGCTGGCCACATCAAGCTCTAATTTGTGCATCTCCCTTTATAAGCCCCACTCCCTCTTTGATCGAAGAGAACATTGTCCGCACAGAACAATACGTTTTCATTTCAATTTCCCTTCTTTTCAGGAAAGGAAATGTTTGCACTTCAAAGGGTTTCTTTGAAGAGTAGCCCTTCAGCTCTGGCCTGTCCAGGTTGGGCGTTACGTGGACTCAGCGGGGTGTGTGGAGTCTGGGCGGCTGCCCACCGAAGTCACTCTCAAGGCCAGCTCCTTCAAGGAGAGGGTCTGGGGCCGGAGCAGAAAAAACAAACACATGGAAAAATACTCAAGGCTTTTGATCATGACCTTCAGAGGCCCATTTTCACACATAACGTAGACCTACAGCTCAGGGAAACTGAGGTACAAATGATGGGGAGCTGAGGACAATGACGTAGTAGCTTCTAAGAACAAAATCCTTCCAGACACCAGACTCACTTAGCAAAGACTCCTCCTGGGTGAGGAAATGGGAGAGCCACTCTTACAGCTGTTATGACGAAGGGACCGCCTAAGCAGACAAAGCAGAGACGTGAGATCCAAACTTCACTATCTGCACCAGTTTTAAAACCTTGCCCTAGGAACTTATGAGACGCACAGTCATCAGCAAAAACAGCAAACTTCACATGGTAAAATTTCACATTTTATTTCTTCTGTAGCCCACTGGTAGGGGCCAAGAGGCTTATTAAAAGGCAAGTCTAGCAACCGCATGAAGCACCCAAGAGGTCACTGACACGGGGCCAGTGCTGTTTCCCTCAATCGGGCTCCAGGCCCCATCCTTAACCTCTGCCAAGTCCAGGAAGCAAGGGGTATAGACCAGACAAGAGTGGGCCTGCAACATTTCTTTTCAAGTCTCAAACAAGTTCTGGATATTTATTAACAATCTCCACCCTTCCCCACCCGGAGGATATGCACCACAAAGGCACCACCAAGGCTGGTTAAGTCCGCCTGCTCGGTGGGCACCTGCCCAAGGGGTGGGCAGAAGCATGAAAGACCGTCAGCTCCAGACAGGGCCAGCTCCTCCCACAGCCCCAGGACTCCGCTGCGGGGCTCCTGCCTGGTGTGTGGGTGGTAGAGGGACCACGGGACTGCGTGGCCAGGTCACCAGAGCTGAAGGAGCTGAGAAAGTCTTCCCACCACCTTTCTGGTTGATTACTCAGCCTCTGAACTGGAATTATGAATGGTTTTTATTTTCTCCTTCTTTTAATTTTCTGCAGTTTCCAAAATTTCCACAACAAAGCATTCTAACTTTTAGAAACATTTTTTCTTAAAAAGGCTCATGAGGTAGAAAATTAGACTACAGCTTTTTTGAAAGAACCCCTACACTGCACAACTCCTTCCCCAAAAATACCTAGCTATAAAGGACATTATGTGGACGACTGCAAGTCGAATATGGACTGTCTAGCAATCTGACTTTGCTATCGTACCATGGTTATATGCGAGAAGGTCCTTGTTCTTAGGAAATATACACCGAAGTACAGAGAGCAAATAAAAAGGCACGATATCTTCAGCTTACTCTCAAATGGTTCAGAAAAAATGTATATGTCTGTGTGCATGTGAGTTTGTATGTGGGTGGAGAGAGAATAGAAGGAGGCAAAACATAAACCACTTGCACATCTGAGAAGAGGGTACTCAGGAGTTCCTTGCACTCCTGCAACTTTTCTTTTTTTTTTTTTTTTTTTTGAGATAGCATCTTACTCTGTCACCCAGGCTGGAGTGCAGTGGTGTGATCTCAGCTCACTGAAACCTCCGCCTCCCAGGTTCAAGTGACTCCTGTGTCTCAGCCTCCCGAGTAGCTGTGACTGCAGGCATGTGCCACCAACACCTGGCTAACTTTTGTATTTTTAGTAGACATGAGTTTCACCATGTTGGCCAGGGCTGGTCTCAAACTCCTGGCCTCAAGTGATCTGTTTGCCTCAGCCTCCCAAAATGCTGGGATTACAGGTGTGAGCCACCATGCCTGGCCTTTGTAACTTTTAACTTTGAAATGTTATCCAAAAACTGCTGAAAAAGAAAAGGGGAAAAGGAGAAGGGCAAAAAGGGTTAGGGAAGAGTTTTCCTAACTCTAATTGCCAGTCTTTCCCAGGGGGCCTCCATGGGGTCCCAGAAACTGCACCCTAATGCCCCAGCTCCTGGACCAGGCCTCGTCCCAAGGGAGGGCAGGAGGTGTCCCTGACACTGTGGAAAAGCTGCAGGCCAGGAAGACACTCCCAGGTCACTTTGGGGAAGACGGGCCCTCGCTGCAGGCCCTGGTGTGGACAGCTCCTGCCCCAGGCTCCCTGAGAGTGTTAAAGAAGCATCCTCTATGGAAAGGCGGCACCTCTGCAAGATATTGTAGAAATCATCAAAGCCAAGCCAAGGGCAGGACGACAGAGGCCACTGGCCTTAAGAAGGATGGAATACACAAAAGGAAGCTGACTTTCCCCTACGAACAGTCTCTGGTTCCCACAAGACCCCCTGCAACGGGGTCTCCCCAGGTGGAAATGGAGGTGGAGTGTGGGCATGGCTGGATGGTGATAAATCAGACAAAGCAACCTTGTGGTCTGGGCAGGAGGCATTACATCCAGTCAAAGGCTGGTGATGTAAATGCCAAACTACTGACCCAAAAAGAATGCAGCCCAGCCTGTCATACACACTGGCTCCTGACACTGGCCACGTCCCAGCGCAGCTGCCCCAGGGACCCCAGGGCTCCAGCTGTGCCAGACGCCTGGACTTGGGAGGGGGAAGACCTGCGTTCAGAGACAGCAGAGGGAAATCAGGTCAAAGAGAGGGAAGGCAGGGTGCCATCCAGCGTTGGGGCGCATGACCAGTGCCAGCACCACTTGGACTCAGCCAGAAACAGAGGGACACAGGCAGATGGGCTTCAGATCTGTCTGCCTCCTACTCACACAGGGCAGGCCAGACCAGGCCTATACCGAGACAGGCTGGAGTCCAGGTAAAGGCAGATATCTAGGTTCCAATCTTCACTCGGCCGCTGCCTACTTGTGTGCCCATGGGCCACCTGCCTCCCTCCCCCCATCAGTCAAAGCAGAAGGGCCGACCTCACTGGGTGGCTGGGAGCACTCAAATGAAACATAGATAAAGCGTAGAGTACATGCTGAGCATGAAATAAATGCTTGCAAGGATTGATCTTACCTAGCCCCGGGGCCCCTCCCTTCCTTCCTACTTCGCCTAAGAGACTTTAGCTAATGGCACTTGGTAGGCAGACAAGATGCAGAGAAGGACACTCCGAAGACATCCATAACAGATCAACTCCAGCCACTTTGTGGGGAGGTGAGCCCCTGCCTTCTCACTGCTGCCCCCCGGTGGGTGTCCCCCACCACCCCGCCCTGTATGGAGGCATCCTATTCTACTGACACAAGCACGGGATGAGTGAGTGAGGTGGGAAACGCACGGCCCAGAGTTTCAGCTTCTCAGCTTTGCTTTTTCTAAAACCCAAGGTCTTCAGAGTAATTTGAACAAAATGTTTAGGATGACTATAGCTAGGGCAGTCACTCCCGTCCTGCCTCCCACCGAACACACACACATACACATACACTAAGAAAGGGGCTGTGAGCTCTGTTTCCCAGGAGTCCTAGGAGTCACCAAGCCCAAGCTGTGTGGGTCTGAGACCTAAGCAAACCTGCACCCCATGGCCAGGGGGACACCAGGATCCCAAAGAGAGATGGCTTCAAGTCCATCCAGGCAGTCAGAGTCAAAACAGCCCAGAGACTATTGTTCCTTCCCTCAGACCTAGGACCAGATGAGATGGTGAACCTGTCAGCAGATGCCTCAGAGGCCCACATCCCTCCTTCAGCACCCTGGGACTATGTGTGCCCCTTCTAATTCAGACACAAACCCAAGGAAAGAGCACAACATTTTAATGCCTTGGTAAAATGAGAGAGCGAAATGAAGTTGTTATAAAAATTATTTTTCTCAGGGCCAGGCTAAGTGGCTCACGACTGTAAACCTAGCACTTTAGGGAGGCAAGGCAGGTGGATCACTTGAGGCCAGGAGTTTGAGACCAGCCTGGGCAACATAATGAGATCCCTCCTCTACCAAAAAATAAAAATTAGCCGGGTGTGGTGGTACATACCTGTGGTTCCAGGTACCGGAGAGGCTGAGGTGGAGGATCACTTGATCCCAGGAGGTAAAGGCTACACAAGCTCTGACTGCACCACTGCACTCCAGCCTGAGTGACAGAGCGTGACCCTCTCTCTTTTTTTTTTTTTTTTTTTCTCTCTCTCAAAAATATATATATCCATATACACATAGATATATATATTTCTCCCACGCCTAAAATCAAGGAACTGAGCCTTCTTTCCAGTATAATAGTTAACCTTTATATGCAACATTTAGACTTGTGCCAGAGGCTGTGTTAAATCCATAGCATGGATTATCTCGTTTAAATCCTCTCAGTCCTATAAGGTAGGCACTAGAAGTCAATTATTATGCAAACAATATGAAAAAGAATTTAAATGTGGTTCCAAGGACTATCAGAAAAAACACTTACCGCAGAAGTGGAACCCACTCTGGGGCTCTGCTCTTTCCGCCAGCAGCGGTCATGACGTCTCATTCGACCCCACAGCGTAGAGGCCCCATAACCTCATGTTGCAGAGGCCCCACATCGAGCTGAGGCCACTCCCAGAGTCACCACTGCTAGATGGTCTCTACAACACAGAACTACTGTGCAGGACACGCAGATCCACTTCTAAAGAAACAGGAAAGCAGCTGGTTGTCCTCACAGCCAAGAACCCGATCTGAACAAATATTCTGAAGAAAGCACTGCAGTAGGAATATGGAAAGCTAGGAAACAAAACTGCCATGCCCTCTGTGCCCCCAGGAAAGGGAGGGGCAAGGGGACAATCAGAAAAAAACTGGAAAGACAATGTAGCCACACACAGTCCTACTAGAAGAAGGGGCCTCCTCTCCCACCTCCAAATAAACCCCCAGGTTTCCTTGCTCTTCACTTTCGGCTGCCACGGTCAGAACTGCAGGCTGCTAACAAAAGGACTGATCTCAAGAGAGAAATTTAAATGCATGGACTTGGTGCCTTTATTCTTTCAAAGAACACTAGGGACTCCATGCTTCCTAACTTCACCACTGTGAGGCTGAGAGGGACAGGCTCTCCCAATACACAGACGGAGCCAGTGTAGAAGGTTCAGGAAGTCTAAATTACCTCAGAGAGAAGCAAAGCCAGGATTCCAGAAGCCAGGAGCAGTGCTGTTCCCAGTATTGGTCCTGACTCCCCTCAGTTCCTCAAAGCAGCATCCTTCGTTTCAAGGCAGATAATCATCCCATTCTGCATTGAAGCTGTGAAGGCCTCTTCCCTCAGTCACACGGCTCTGGCTCCATTATCCAGTGTGTTCACCAAATGCAATACCTGCCATTCCCCACTGTTTCTGACAATAATTAGATGAAAAAAGCTCAATGAAAACCACTGGGTGTGGCAGGAGGGGCAAACCGCAGACCAGCCAGAATCTGGTCCATGTTCCTGGGATGACCAAATCCTGACCAATGGGCCAGATAAACAGCATTCCCCGGGTCTGCCAATGCTGCACGTCTGAACGAATGCCTTGGGAGAGAAATGAACACGGCTAGCAAGCCACCAAATCACTTTCCCAGTTTTATGCCCATCCTTCTGGTAATTCCATTTGGCAAATGCACTAAACCTGGCTTGACAGATCATGACCCACACTGAACCACAGGGGTGGTTATTTTCCAGGCTGCTTTGCAGTTGGGTATGGGGGTGGGGGAGGAGGCAGATTATGACAAAACAGAAAGGGAGGCCACTAAAGTTTACCAACAAGGCAGGTAATCTGCCGCAAATGAAGCTACTACTCTGTTCCCTCACTGGAAGAGAGGTCCAAACCCTGGGCTGGACAGCAGGTTGGCCAGGGATCTGATGCCTCCCCACCCAAGGCCTGGGAAACCCGAGGGGAGGCAGATGTCCTGATGATCCAGGAATATCCCAGGACCTTTGAACCCCATGTTTAGAGGGTCCCCATTCCACAGGACAAGCCCACCGCCAGGCGGCCCACTAGAAGGTGGCAGAGGAGCAAAGGGAGGCCATGGGCAGCAAGGAGCCAGAGGTTGAAGAGACCCCCCAGATTTGGCGAGAGGAGCCAGTAAGGCTAGGTGAAGGGGAAGGACGCCAGCACCCTGGACGGCTGGCTGCAACACACAGGCAGGCACCTGAGAGGGGCTCCAAGAAGATACGTCTTCTAGCCCTGACCCTGGGGATGAGAGTTCTAAAAAGGGCAGTTGTGACTTTCAAAAAGTCCCTCTTCCACCCAACAGGTTCTTTGCTCAGCCTTCCCATCTCATTAACACAGCAACTCCGAAGTGCCTGGAGTCATATTTGACCTTTCTCACCCTCCCATGAATCCACCGGCCAATCCTATTGGATCTGCTTTAAAATCTGTCCAGGTCTGCAGGGCCCAACTATACAGAAAAACACCACATCCCATTGGAAGGTCTTGCTTGGAGTGAGGACCAAGAGGCAGGTGGAGTGACAGGCATCTCTGAAGATGCCTCTGGAAGAGTTAACTCCGAGACCCAAGTATCTCCAAGGTTTAGAGGGAAAAAAAATATTTTTCTCCATAACAAGGATGCACTTATTCACATTTCAAATTTGTCCCTCGGAATAACAGCAATCTCTCCAAATACATGGTTGATAATGAGAAAGGATTAATTTAATTGGACA